TCATACTAACAAATACAAGTTTTATAAAATGTCTTCTGTAAATACTTTTTATAGGTTTGTTCACACCTGCTGTTCACAGGTGGTCTCACATCAAGTCCAACCTGCTCAGTGGCATCACACAGGATCAGGAGTGCTCAGCTCTTTAATATAAAAGCCTGCTACACATGAATTTTATAGACACTGAATGCAACAACAAATAAAAGCACAAATTTTTTGATCTATCCATAGTAATGTACATTATTGGCCACTTTATTAGGTACACTTTGCTAGTACTGAGTTGCACTCCCTTTTGCCTTCAGAACTGCCGACCAATGATTAATCCAACATCAAAATATAGTAGAAAGATAGTCTGAAAATATAAGAAATTATTAAACAGAAAAGCACTAAACTTCAGTTTACCAGTTGCTGCCCTCTACTGTCCATGAGTCAGAGGGCAGCAAAATACCAAAAAAACAACAACAAAACTCTACACCCCTCCTCTCGATACAAAGAAACATTAACTGCATCACTTTACTGTTTTATTTGACTGAACGCACAAATATAAACAGTATTTGTGGAATATTAACATTTTCACATAGACGATAAGAATATAAGAAACTATGTATACAACAAATACAACTCTAAGCAGCTGTACCACACTTTAGACCTGACCTGCACTGCTCTAGAAGAACAGCTATTGGGCAATAAATAAAAATATAAAAAGCCAGAGAGAAAGCTCAACATTAAACCATTAAAATCCCCCTTTACTGAAGGCATTTACAGCAGAATCTGGAAAGTTGGACCAGCAGCGGGAAACTCGGAGATTGCAGAAGCAGGTTGGTATGAACTTCTGTTCTGTGGATTACGTTTTCTGTTGATCACGAAACTAGCAACAACAACCAGAAGTGCAGCAGAAACTGACAGACCAACGATCACACATGTCATCCAGGGAAGGACGGATGTTGTTTTGCTTTGCTGTGTTTTAATGTGAAGTGTGCTTATTTATTTTTTATATTGCATGTTTTGGTTATATCTTGTGGAGTGTTTTATTTATACTGCATGGTTTGGTTGCATCTGTCAATTTGTCCTGGAGAGACTCTGCCCTTTTTCCCGTTTTACTAATTTGACACACCTGAGAGGAAAGGGAGTGGTAATTTACAGAAAGTGCTCAGCGACACATAAGACTGGTGGAGCTTGGCGTTGAGG